TACATAGCTGCCAACATAGAGAGAAAAAAATCCAGTAGATTTTACGAAATAATATAAATTTCATGATAATTGTTGCATAATGTACTAAATATTTTAGAAGTAGGAAATTCTAGGGATTTTCTTAGTCATCAAAGTAGAAAAACTGCAATATTCTATAGTTATGATTGGCATTAAACATACTTGAAATGTTATGTATTACGTTTACTCATAATTTTGAACATTAATAGGCATTTAATTCACCAAACATAGTTCAAAGATTTTTTAAAAGTAATTTAAAAAGATTACTGTGAGTAAAAATAAACTGAACATTTTAGAACAAAAAAAGTTTTGGACTGATTTCTATAAATGAAGTTCACTTCATTATGTATTAGTAATACTTTTTAATTATTCAAGCAATAATCTGCACAAAAAATTAATTTCAAAAGGGATTTTTTAAGGAAACTTACTCAATTTTTGGAATTTTCTAAATTGTACAAAAACCAGGAGAATTTTAAATAAACCAGTAGAAACTGGCAAAATCCAGTAGTCTACTGGAAAATCCAGTAGAGTTGGCAGCTATGTATTAATTAAATTTCACATATGAATATAGGTTTTTGACATTTTCGACAGTGAGGTTTTTGACGTGACGGTTTAAACCATGGTTTAAACTGTCAAAAACTGTCACATGTCAAAAACCTGCCAACCCTGATTCATAAGTTAGTATTAAATTCAGATTTTTAGAATCTGCTGCAAAAGCTGGAAAAATAGCATTTTCAGACAAAAGTGATGTAACACTTGAAACATTCTATAAAGCATATTATGTTTTATTTAAAATTGTGGTTTATACTAACTTAAAAAAAAAAAAATCTATTATGCTTTTTATTCTTAAGTCAGAATTAAATTCACTATTTTAAAAACTGCTGCAAATGTTGGAAAAATAGCATTTTCAGAAAAAAGTGATGAGAAACTTAGGTATGTTTATTATTTGTTATAAATATAAACAGTACAAAATTATACTTTCACAAAACCAAGTAGTGTTATAAAAATTTACTAGACTTTACTTAGAAAAGGTTTTTGCCCCAACCCTATTGGAAGATTCTAATAGGGTTGTTACTGTCTGCATTCTTTAATTGCTATTATCTTTTTAAATGAATTTAGAAGATTCTAATAGGGTTATTATTGTCTGCATTCTTTAACTGCTATAATCTTTTTAAATGAATTTAGAAAAATTATTTCAACTAACTAAAAATTTAAAAATATTCATTCAACTTCCTTTTGATTGCTTCCATGCCATTTATTTGAGACATTGGCTATGTTCCAGCTTCTTGGCAAGTAGACGCAAATGATTAATCTTTCAACATGCAACCTTAGAATTGAAACAACTTGTATAAGTAATTAAGTTGCTGGATAGAAAAGTTTTTATATTGAATAATGTTTGAGTCATTGACATCTGAATTATATTTGTATGCATTTCATGTTTTTTTTAATTTTTTTTTATCCATTTATTATAAGAATGAGTTGGAAAATATAATCAATAATTTGGATTAATTTATTGACGTTTGCATTAAATTGTGTTTTTAAAAAAAATATTATCTCAGTTAAGTCACCAATGTGCAATTATTTATATTTAATATATATTTTTTAAACATAATATATCATTATTTGATCAAGTAAGGTTGAATCAGGGAAAGGCGACTAGAGGAAAGCTTAGTTCTCATATAGTTGTTAATTATGCTACTTGAATACTTGGTTATTATTGCTAAATTAATAATTTATTTGGTACAAATAACTGAATTAACTTTGGCTCAACAATTTAAAAAAAGATTGTATATGATGTATCCAAATAAAGGCAAGTGTTTATCACTGAACTATTGTGCCAATTGGCCCTTGCAATATTTAAGTAATAATCACTGCCTTTTATTTTATATATTGCACTTATAATCTTTCTTTTTTCCTTTAAGAGCTAAAATTACCTCAGTTGATTATTGTTAATTTACAATTTTACAATAATATATTTTAAGTTTATTTTTCAAACTGTTGAAAGTATATAATTTTATATAATTTGAAAGTAGTAAATAATAATTTAGTCCTGTAAAACTCCCATACTAGCCGCATTTTCTGAAGCCCAGTATAAAACATCGTCTCAATTTTTTAAAAGCATTCTTTGGACCTTGAATACATACCTATTTTGTCTATTTTAATCTATAATCAGATAGACAAAATAAAACCACTCACTGTCGTATTTATTTTTTAAATTCTGGTCTAAATTTAACTTAAGTGTAACAGAAGTTTAAATTTTTGTATCACAATAGTCTTAATTAACTCAACAGTTAGTATTTTTTGAATTAACAGGTTTTCTGAGCTAAAAATTTACTCAGCTGCAAAACAAATATGCTCAAATGGCCAGCTCAAGAAGTAAAGTATGGGGACCAACACATCCGAGTGCAGCCTTTCTAATAAAATGTGCAAAAGAGAAAGAAAAGCTACGATGTACCCTGCAGAACCAACTTCAAGAGCATATGTTATGGTATGTAATTTATAGTATTGTTTGTTTGTCCATTTTATCAAAATTAAATAGAATAATTTGAAGAGTTACGTAAAAATAAGTTATAATGAAACTTTTTGGAAGAAAATAATTGAGTTTCCGCTTGAAAAAAAATCTTATTTTTGTCTTGTTTAACTATACAGTATTTTGCCTAATCTTTAAATTTTATACATTTCAGTGGATGAAAATACTAAGTGACAATCTTTGAAAAGATTGTTACTTATATTAATAGAGAAAGATTCTCTATATTAATAGAGAAAGAACGTTTCAGTGGCATTTGGCATCAAAAGTTTATGACTAACCTTAAAAAGCCTTTGTTTTGACAGCAAATTAAAAGTTATGAGTGTTAATCTTGTGTCACAGGCAGTTTAAATGAATCTTAGGAATTTGTGGATTTTGACTGTAAAATTTTTTTTTGACGAGAAATAATAGCAAAGCACATTCTTTATTACCCACTGTCAATGAATTCAATCTTTTTTACTCAAATTTACTAAAATGTTACAACCTTCATTCAATTAGCTCTTCATTTACCAATTTTCTGAAAATGGAATAAAATTATCATTTTGTTTCTATTATTTTAGTATGCTACAAAGTGATCTGTTTTCTGACATTTTGATTGGTGTGAGCAATTTCAAGCAACATAATTTAAATGAAGAAAATATTGAAAATCAGCAGAAACACCCAGATCTCCCGCATTTAATACACTCCCATAAAACTCTTCTGAAAGTAAGAACACCAGCTTTCTATAATCATCTAACTGACCACAAAGAAATAAACATTGGAGTTGAATCCTATAATTCATATTTGCAAGAAGCTGAGTTAGACCAATTTTTGAGGTAAGTTTCTTTTTATTGAATAAACTATTTTTTTTAATAGTTTTATATTGTCTTTAAAATTCTTTACATCGAGTTACTTTAGAAAATATATATTATTTTTCTGTTTGTGCACAAATAACTTGCTTTTTACGAGTAATGATGTTTTAAAACTGTTGTTTAAGACTGTTATTGGCAGATTTAGACATCTTTATTATTAAGTGTTAGTAATACACAAGAAGAGAAACCCATCTTATTGCTATGAGACTAAGATTTTATCAATAAAGATTTTATTTCACAGTTACTTATGTAAGCACACAATTGGTTACAATAGATCATGTAATGCTTCATTTTCAAGGATTATTTGATTTAAACTCTACATTCATATTATCTGTAAGAAACACGCTAACCCTCAGATTGTCTCATCTGCTGAGTGTCATTCTACTCAACATTCTTCTACAGTTAACAAACCAGCTCTTCCCATATAATTCAATGTGGAAGCATTTGGGACACTGTAATGAGGAAATATTTTAGAGTGACAAATTCAACATACGTTTTTTCTAGAAACATGCCTACCTTTTGATTGTCCTGCCTGTAGAGTGTCTCCCTATTCTACATTCTTCGACAATTAGAAATCCAGTATTTCCCATATTATTCAAAAGGAGCACTGTCATGAAAAAATTCTTGAGAGTTTTACAAACTCTACATTCATATTTTCTAGAATCTTGCTAACCTTCTGATTGTCCTTTCTGTAGGGAGTCATTCACATTTCATTCTTCTACAATTAGCAATCCAGTAATTCTCATATTATTCAATATGAAAGTGTGGGGATACTGTTATGAGAAAATACTTGAAAAAAATAGAGAATACTTTGAAAGTGTGACAAACTCTGCATTCATATTCTCCTGAATCATGAATCTAGAATCTGCATTCATATTCTCTACTATCTGACTGTCCTGTCTGTATCATTTTATTTTGAATTATTCTACTACACATAGTCAACTAAGTCTCTCTGTCTTAATCGATTGGAAAGCACTAACACTCAAGAATGGTCTCCTGACTAACTCTCTATTCATATTTTCTAATTAAAATTTTTAAAAAATGACATTCTGTTCCATTGACAAAAAGTTGAATTCCCTTTAACATTTTTCTACATCTTGTGAACCAGTTTTCCCTATGTTGTTCGATAAGTGAGCAGTGTATCATAGAAACATTATATTGTTATGAAGAAATTTGTGTCTGGCTTAGAATTGCTATTTTTTTCATTAGTTAAAACTGTTTAAATTTTTAGATAATAAAATTCCATTGAAGGTCTCATTTATTAAGTAATAGAATATTACCAATGACTTAAATTTTCTTTATTTAAAAGAGATGTTTCTGTGACACTTACAAAATTTGATTTTCTATAGGTAATTTTTTAAACAATTTTACACCATTAATTATTTAGTTTAGTGAAGGAAAAAAAATGAAACTTTTAATTTTAACATACTTTAAGTTTTATATAAAAAAATAAAAAAAACGTGAAAGAAAAAGAATAAAGTGTTACAGAAGTTCTCAGTTCTTATTATGATATTTTCAGCTCTTTTTACATTTTTTATTGTTTCAATGATATAGATAAATTTTTTCATTTTTAGGAGAGTTTATACTGATGATGATATCAGGAAGCAAGAATGTGAAACTATTCATCTAAGTCGAAAATACATTGAATTAATTTGCCACAATAAAGGGCCACTAAATAAGCATGTTTTAGAAGTTGATGAATTTGAAAAAGAATCTGTAAATTCTACTTGTACAGACAGTTTTGTTACCCCCAAAACCAGTCCGGTTTCTCCTGAAAGGAAATCGGATGTTCCCACCATGTTTCGCTCTGCCCAAAGTAGGATAGAAAAGCAGAAAGGCATTCTTGGGAATGAACTGCCTTCTGCTGCCGAAATGAAATCTAAGAAAGTTGAAAACATTAACTCTAATAATATAGATCAAGCACAAGAAAATGACTCCGATATTTTTGTATCGTCTAAAGCCTCCGTCGTCGAAAAAAAGGAGACTAAAAATTTGAATTTGTTTAATAATGATGGAAGCTTAAATCAATCACGTGAATCTGAATTTTCACTTCATATAGATTTATCAAATTCCGATCAAGAATCTGATTCAGATGATTATCCCGTTGTTGGAAGTATGGTCAGAAGTAATACTTTTGATCTAGAAACGCAAGGCTCTTTGGAAGAAGCTATCGACGATAATAGTGACTGGTCATATAAGGACTTAATTGGAAAAAATTCTGAAGAAAGAGAAACTCCAGAACTGCAAATAAGAGAACATTTACCTTCTAAAAGAGCTGAGAGCTCTGGATTTTTTCTGCATGACCATACTCCATCTCCTAAATCTAATATCTTCCGCAATACTTTTTTAAAAGATTCATATTATAATTCTGCCCAAGAAACTTGTTTCAGCTCTCCTAATTCAGGTGTTCAATATCGTAGAATCGATGGCAGTATGAGTGATTCTGGTTTTATGTCTCATAGTACATATAGTTTGATGTCTGATACACCATACCCGAATTCTGTTTCATCTTCTCTAATCATGTCATCAGAAGGTGTGTCCAATTCACCAATCAGTAATGCAAATGTAAACTCCACTGGTAATATACCAAACTCAGTAAAATCTGAGTTACCTGGATCAATGTTTCCCTTTTACATTGACATTAAAAAACTTTCACCACCTACTCCTGCAGCGAACAAGATCAAAAAATCTAGCCCTTCTCAGACATATATGTATATTGATGCCAAATCTCCGAAAATAATTTATTCTTCAAAAACAAGACCGCCACTGCTAAACAGTTCTTATGAAGAGCTGTTCACAGAAATCACCCCAGAGAATGATTATCATAAAAAAGAACCATTAATGAAAGCACAGTCTACCTCTCGGCTTGATGCTTACTGTTACGAGCAAAAACAGTTTGAGTTGTCATCGAGGAATGAAAAATTACGACCACAGTCTTGTTACATGTACGTTGACCTGGATTCAGTGGAATATGATCCGAAGAATGATCCCTCTGGTGCGAGATTGAAACGTCCTATGAATAAAGCAGAAACAACATCTGTATCAATGTTTATAGATTTAAATGAAGATTTTAAAGAGGATGTTAGCACCAGTGTTAAAAATTCTGTTTGGGATCGAGAATCACACCAAATTGACCAACATGTGATAGTGAAAAAAGATAGACAACGGAGTTCTACATTCAATGCTCGAAGACGAAAATTATCAGATCCCTCATTAAATAGCTTTCAGGGAAATGTGGAAAATAGAGTGAGGTATTTTTCTCTTACTCGAGAGGGTAAAAGCAACTTTGGCGCTGATCATTCTCTGAATCTCCAAGAAAATTTTATGCGTTTGAAAAGCTCAAGTCAAAGAAAATCTCGAAGTGCTCATAGATATTCAGATGGAGTATATTATGACCATTTCTCACCGATTCGAATCTCAAATAATGTGTATCGGGCTGATGATGAAAAAATATGTAATAATTCAAAAGCTTATATGACTCAACACATAAAGTTTGATAACCAAGCTTCCAAACTTATTGAACAGTTAAAAAATGAATCTTCAGGTAGTTGTTCTGATTTAGGCAAGGATGACATACAAAATAAATTCTTATCTGACGAAAAAGTACGTTGGAAATCAACTGGTGATATGGCAAAGACTAAGAGCTTAAATAACAGTGAAGAGAATGGTCTTCTCCCTATGAGTCCTATTTTGCGTCGAAAAAACAATAGTTCAGAGGCAACAAAACCACCCTCTCCGCCTATTTCTGTAAAGGCTTCAACAAAGCCCCAGGATGTTGATGCTATGACGTTTCCAAAATCAATAAGGGACGACAGCCCCAAAATCTGTAACAGAGAAACCAAAGATGATAATAAGGATTCTAAACCTGGATTTCCTAGTCCCTTAGCAGTTCGAAAGAAAGCAGATATATCTGATGATTCCAAAAGTTCTACTGATAGTCTTCAATCAGTAACTAAACCAGGATTTCCTAGTCCTTTAGCAACCCGTAAGAAAGCAGATAAATCAGATGACTCAAAAAGTTCTACCGATAGTCTTCAACGAGCAGCGGATACTGTAAGTTTTAATCAAACATTCCCTAAATCAAATGATCTCCACAACAATAGAAATAATTTGGCTGGTGATATTGTCCTTGAATCAGTTAAAGAAAAAGTTACAAACTTTTCTCCTCTTGGCCTATCACTGTCCTGCGAATTTGAAGATGACTCGGAAACAATGTATTCAGAAGTTTCAGATGTCAGTTCATCTTTAGGAGGGGTCGCAAGTTTAGAGCGCCGCTGGAGAGAAACTCAGAACCAACAATCTGAATTTGCAGATATTAATGTGAAGAGTACTCAGCGCATCCTGGAAGCTTGTTCAAAACTTGGGGAAGATCTTCTGAGAATGTTCCTCGAAGAAATTGATACTGATATCACAATTGAAGTAGAAGGCAAGAATATTAAGGCTCATAGGTAAGTAATAGTTTTGTTTGGCTCCAAAGTGATTTTTTTTTCTTAAAAAAAACCAGTCAATTCTCTTTATTTTGCAAGACCGATCCTTACTTTTTAACTTTAAGTGATATCCATCAAAATCAGATATATTCCAGCTTACCTTTTTCTTTCCTTCTAAAAAGCTTCTTTTAAAAGAAGAAAAAAGAAGCTTTCTACAAAACTTTGATTTTTGACTTTATAAAAACAATATGAAATAAAATTATTAACATTTACAAATTTGATTGTTAATGTGACACTAAAGATATACTGATGGTTTATTGAGATAGTCTGGGATTAATTCTAAGTGGTAATCCAAAAACAATACTGGTGTACGTGTGCATCACGCTACTGCAATTTAAAATTATAGGCAGATGGTGGCAGTAATCTCTCAACCACACTTCCAAACTGTATGTGAACTTTTCTGGTTCGGAAAACACTGAGGACATCACAATAGAATTGATTCCGAATTACTAAAGATTTTGAAAGTTTAATCCGATCAGACATTCGAACTTAAGAATAGGGACTCGAACCCTGGTCCTGAAGTGTGGGTAGGCACAGAAATTACTGGCTACAATCATTAGGCGGCAAAAGTATTCATGTAACAAAAATTAAAAATCGAAATTAATTTTTTAGTGTAATTTTCTATTAAGGAGAATTTTTGTCTTAAAGCCCATAGAATTATGGTAAACATGTGAAAAAGATAATGAAATTCTCTATACAAATGTCAACAAAATATCTTCAATGTTTATCTATAGATGAAAGATATACATAGATACGAACATACAGACGAGAGCAAATCATTTTTTGAAATCTACGCATAAAATAGTATAAGTGGGTAATGTAAAAATTGCTGAAGATCAAGTTCAGTTATTACATAATATTACACATTTTGATGAAGTTTTACGGTGTTAAACAAGTGCCCTTTCAAAACTTATAGAGCCCTTTTTTTAGAGGCAGCTCCCTACCCTTTTTTATTCCTAGGGCAAACATTGATTTTTGTATATAATATATTGGTGTAAGGCTGTAAGGAAATATCGATATTGCCTGTTCCTTTTGCTCATAAGCGAAACATTATATCCTCTTATTTCTTAAGGGTATCAATTTCATGATATTAAAAAAAAGCAACGCCTAAAAGTTTGCTTTGTAACTGTCGAATCTATTCTAAAATCGATTTTGTGTAAATTAAAATTTTGTGTTTTTTAGTTTTGCTATTTTCAAATATTGTCTGATGATGTAATTTTTTTTTTATCCTCAGATGCATTTTGTCTGTTAGATGCCAATACTTTTCAAATCTTCTGAAGTCCAATGAAATTTTAAAAGATAATAGTAGTATCAAGCTTGAAGGGTAATTTTATATTGTTAACTTTCCATTCTGCTTTTGAAATATTTGTGTCTAACATTTTTCATGTTATTATATAAAGGTAAATTATTCTTTTAAAAATTTTGCTGCTTTTTTTTTACAGCTTCAGCTATCTGTCTGTTCATTTTGCTCTTTGCCATATCTACAGTGGAGCCATGAACATACCAAAAGATTGTGATATTACTGAACTTACTCATCTGGCAGATATGCTGTATTTGAAATCCCTGAGAGATGTTATTGTCTTTCATTTAAAAATGCATTATTGCCACTTTTTCCACAGGGTATGTAAAATCTTTCATTGCATAATTATGAAAAGCGTGCAAAGTAAAAATAAAAATAAACCACCCTGAATGACTTTAGATAAGATCAGATCTTCACATACTGGAACTCGATCTTACATTAAATTTTCTAATTAATTAGTGCAGACAATATTTTAAGTTATTAAATCAGACAGAAAAACATACTTTCTCTGAATAAACATACCTTTCCTTTTAATGGATTCAGATTTCGAACACCCAAATTTTTTGGGGGTAGCTGCAATCTCAGAAAGATGATCTCCTTAGTTTGGTCAGGAGAGCGATTCAAAGATTGAACCCGTTTATGTTAATTTTTCTTTTTGCGTATTTCACCATATCTTGAGAACTTATTAAGCAAATTGAAATATTTTTGCACACAATTATAAAATTCATTTGTCCAAAAATAATTCCATGAAAAAAATAATTTTGAATAATTATTTATTATTTTAGATTTTTTTTAATAATGGTCTTAAAAATTTTTGAATTTTAAAGTATACAAATGACATTGTTTTAAAGAATACAAAATTCAATTGAACGCAGTTAAATAATTCCTGAGAAATTGAGTCGTATATTTAAAATTGGGTTTCTCAGGAATTATTCAGCCGCTTTCATTAAAATATTCTATTTTGTCTTATACAATTACATTCTTTAAAATCATGTAAAAATGGTATGCCTTATAATTCAAAATTTTTTCAATATCCGAGGTCCATGGGCTTTGCCGAAAAGAATTTCCTACATCATCGATCATCATCCACCCTTGCAATTTTAAATAGAAAATTTAATTTTCTGATTCTCTCTTTGTAAGATATTATTGCAATTGAAATACAGTACAGAACCCGTTATCCGGAAATCAGAAAACCGGGAAACCAAAAAACCGGAACGAAATTCGATAAATTTTCCCGCCATTTAAAAAAAAATTTTTTTTTCCTCTTAAGATTTTAGGATTTTTCGTTCTTTTTTGAAAGATGTTTACCTTACCATCATTTTGGAAATAATCATTAGTGTATTACTCCATCGTTTTTTCTTCTTTTTAAGATTATTTCCAAAAAAAAAATTTTTTTTTAGTTGGGTTTAACATTAAAAAAACAGCTTTTTGTGGCGATTCAGAAAACCGGAAAAATCAGTTATCCGGAATAGCGATGGTCCCGATCGTTCCGGATAATCGGTTCCCTACTGTATATGTAAGTAAAGTGTGTAAGAAATTAGTTACAGGTGTGTCTTTTTACTTAAAGTGAAATTACTCTTTATGGTTTTAAAAAATTAAATTTAATTTATACTTTATTTACTATAATAATTCCTTTAAGTTGTAATATATATTATTGTTACATTTGTAATTTGAGAAACTTCTTTCTGAAGTTTTATATTGTCATACAAAATTCAGGTTTTTCTTTTTCACAACTGTAAGGGCATATGTATGTATGATTTATTATTTTGTTGTTCTAAATGCGTGAAGTCTACACCTGAAGGATCATGACCCTACAATGGGATCATGCTTTGTTCTTATTTATTTTACTAGATTTGCGGTTTTCTGATTTTTTTAATACTCTTGAGTTATTTTATAAATGAGAAAAAAACTTAATATTTTCAATTTCAATATTTTTAAAAAGTGCAAATTGAGGGGTCTCTCTCTTATCTAATACATATTATTAGCAAATGCAATGATACATATAATATGACTTTGGTTTATCATTTGAAAAAATTTAATTTTAATTTAATTTTGTCATTTTATAAACTTTATAGTTAATTTACTCAAATTCATGGAGAGCCTTTATCCCTTCATTTGTGAATTGATTGTAGTAATTTAATTTGTACTTTAACAGTTTATTTATTTATAATTTTTTCTTCTAGCCGTGTTTGCAATGTTCTCAAGGTGTTGTGGAATGTCTACCATTAGTTTCTGCTTGTGGCTTAAATGAACTAAGAGATAAGTGCATCTATTGGTTAGGAAAGAACTTCACACGTACTTGGACAAACAAATCTTTCGCTTCTCTTCCTGAGGAATTACGTGATCTTTGCTATGAAGTCACTGTCTTGAATTTGGTGAGAAATTTTTGTAACTTTTATTTTATTGCTTAAATTTATAAGTTTTAATAATAATTGAGCATTGGTTATTATTGAAGCTTTTGATTTTATTTCATAATCTTAATTTATTTTTTTTTTAAATTAGGTTTTAAAATGTTTTCTTGTTTTCAACTTCAGGTTATTTCAACATTATCTTTTACATTGTTCATAAATTGTTTTCAACATTCAAAGCAATTAATGTATACAATTTACCTGTTTTTATTTTTATGTTTTGCCTAATATGCATGATATTGTTGAAATAACCTGTATAAAGTATTTGTCTAAAATGTGTGAATAAATAAGTTGTCACTTTTTTTAAAATTCAAATCTGAAAGTTTTAAAATTGTTTTTCGATATATCTGAACACAGTAATGATAACTTAAAGCTCCTTTTACCATATTTCCATGACTTTATTTTTGCTTAAAATTTAAAGTCTGAAATCACTGTTTCTATTAGGTAATCTTATTTATTTATACTAGTTATTGGATTGCCTTGGTTGGAGTTAGCAAAAAGTTACACATTTTTGCGATAATCTTTCTAGCATTTGTAGTTTTATGCTTTAATTCAAGTAAATTATCCATCTTCGATGAAAAGATTGACTGTTCTGTAGATGGTACTATGCACAATTGAATAACTATTAAAATATCTTTCAAGTGCAACTGTATTGGATTATTCAGTTTAACTCATAATATTGTAGAAAGCCCAAAAAATTATGAAAATCGTGAAAGCTTTTTCTAGATACTGAACTTCATTTCTGAAATAGTCATTATAGATCTTGAATTTTTATAAAAATGTAAAACAATTACCCTTACAAAAAGCAAGTTGTTCAAAAATTCAAATTTAAATGAATAATTTTTTTTTAAAGTCCTGACAAATCATTACACCTAGTAAAAATATCAAAACTACAATACTAAATCAAACTACATAGAGAATTTACTTTATTATTAAGTATATGTTTAAATTTAAACTAGATAATAAACTAATGATGTTTAATACAAGAACATTCGATCTTCCTCAACTGAAATCTATTACAATCTTCCCAAATTGTTTGAAATCTTGTTAATAATCGCAATCTAAGGTTGCAGCTAAAACTGTTGTGGTACTGTTGATATTTACACAATCTAGTGTAGCAACTATTTTTTTCTTACTAATTATATATCTCATTTGTAAAATAAATTACTAACTATAAATATATTTCAAGGAGAAAAAATAATGACAAGTGCATCTTAGTTCCTAATTAAAAATCTGTTTTCTTTCTTTTTAAAAATTTTTTTTTTTCATTCTTTAGCCTGTGGTATATCTAACTATTTTTTAAAAAACAGAAATGTATTCAGTGCTTTCATGCATGATCTAAGTAAGTGAATTAAATAAGGAAATTTAATGACAGAGAAATGTCTACAAAATTATTATGTTTGTTTTTATTATTAAAACTTTACTAAAGTTAAAATTTTATCATGTTTTTTTTAAAATAATTATCCATTGATTTCATACATTTTATAAAAAATAACATTACTTAGAAATAAAAATGGATGTCTTTTGTTTAGACTATTGAAACTGTGATTGACATGACATTAAACTGTGACCGATTGATAAATACTTTGCCCCAGCTGAAATGGACAGAACCTATATTTGGAATGATCACTAAACTTCTCCAAGATTGTATTCATTTTATGGCCAAAAATTTTAACCAAATTTTAAAATCGGAAGGATTCTTAGCTTTGGGAAAAGTAAGTTATTAATATATTCTTTTTATACTTTTTTGTTTACTTTAAAAATGTGAGCTAGTTAATCAATAATAATAACCCTTTTAATGTTAAGTATTTTAATACAAGTAAATCATTAAATTATAAATTTATAATAAAGCTTATACTCTTATTTTATCTTTCTTTTTTTTTATTTATAATGTGCTTATTATTATTTTAGCTTCAAATTTTTAGTTGAATTCTTTAGCTGTCATTCTTTTTGAAAAATGGTTTACATAAATTTCCTTGTCAAGCTCAGTTTGAGTTGCCTAGAAGAAACTGATTTCCGTGCAGGAAAGTATCTAGGTTTTGCTCCTGAGTCCATGGTCAACAGTTACAGGGGTGCATAACAATTTTTCAAAGAGGGTTGTTGAAAAAAAGTTGCCTTTTGTGAACCACAACAAATTCACTTTTTATATCAATTAAAAATAATTGAATTATTTTATGGTATAATAAGAAATGATTAAAAACAAAGTATATGCATTGATGTATTGTATAATTTTGAATTATGAAACAATTAAAATGTAGCATTCTTTTTCTTCTGTAGCAAAATTAAACTATTACAGATTTTCAACTTTTTTTGTAGAAAAATTAATTTTTATTTTTTTTACTGTGTATGAATATACTTACATATTTTTAAATAAATCCTTAAACTATGTTTGTTTCAAAGATGTTTTGATTAAATAAAATTTTCTTTAAAAAAAATAATGATCTATAAAGATTTGAATCTTCTGTAACCTACTTGAATAAGTTTCATAAATTTTTCAGTTTTAATTTTATTCCAATGCTTATCAAGAAGAACAGCAATACAGATTTGTTAGTTATGTCTTTTTCCGAATAACTTTCGGTGGAAAAGTGAGGGACTGCACATTAATGTATGATGGGGTCCATTTAGTTCCTCAACTGCAGGGACTGAGTGAAAGCATTTAAAGTGTTGTTATTATTCTAAGAAAAAAAGAAACTATTAAAAAAAATATTTAAGTGATTTTCCTATTTAACTGTAAATCTTAGGTGTAAATTAATGTTTATGTTTTTACCTTATATAAAGGGTTTGAGTTGGAATGTAACTGCTTTAGAAGAAGACATAATTTCTGCCATTGAATTGACTGCTCCAGATATGACATGCAAATCATTTGATACTGTCAATCAGTTGATACAGCTGGCTGAATCAATTGAAAACATAGATTCTGGAATGTTTACACAGGTATGTATGTCTTTGAAATATTCTTTCTTTCAATTTAGGTATATTAAAAGCATTTTTGCCCTTTTTATGTAATAAAAAATTTATGGTATAATTAAAGCTTTTGTAATTTATTTATGTACATTTTAAGATATAAATCTGAAGAGTTATTTAGAATGAAATTTAACTTATTGATACATAACATAGTTTTAAAAAAAGTTTGAGCAATATACTTAAATACAATTAATGTCATAATTTTTTAAATTTTCAATTATAAACGTAATTGAAATCTGAATTTCATTATATAAATCTTAAAAAATATATATTTGTACTTTTATTTTTTAAAATATTAAATATAATATAAGATTATTTATTTACATTTTCTTGAATTTTTTTTTCTATAATAATACAAATATAGTAATTTTAAACTTATTATTATACTTATTTTAGAAATTCATGAATTTAAAAAATTTATTTATTTTGCTATTAGAGATTAGAATTTTCAACTTTTGGCTATCTGAATTGCAATAACAACTAAATTTATAGAGATAGCAAGTTAGATAAAAAAGTTGAACTTCATTTTTTAGATAATTTATACAAAAATTTTTTATTTTAAATAAATCTTTCTTTTTTTTCAAATTTTTTTTTTTGTATTTCCTTTTATTTCAAGCTGGGTGCGTTTGATAATATGTATATATATATAATTTTTATGAGTATTTTGGAAATTTTAGATGTGTTTATGAAGTTATGAGTTTTTGAATCAAACAAGTAAAACATTACTTAACTTAGACTTAAAAAAAGAAAACATCTCATTTGATATTAAGTTTTGAGTGAATTCCTTTTAAAACCCAATTGCTTGATTTTTATTAGATTTCAATTATTTGTTTAAATTTTATGTAATCTTGGATTAAAACTTTCTTTTTCCTCAGAATTTTGTGGATTTGTTACACAAGATAAGTCGCCATTGTGAGAGGTACCTCATTCAAAATGCAAACAAAGTGGTTCATTGCCAAAGTTGGGCATATCTTGCTCCTCATGTTCAGAAAAGGATTAGGGATGGTAAGCTTATTAGTCATGTTTACTTATTCTTTACACTTCTGTTTTTACTGGGTGTCCATAAAATAGAAAGAAACAGAAATGTACAGTTTGATGTATTCTACTTAGAATTCCAGAAAATTTTATTCTAACCATGTTTCAAAACTAGTTACAAAGTTCCTTTACAAATGACATTGCTGCAAAAAACTGTAGAAAAATGTTTTTAAAATAACCACTATTTGTTGCAACAATATAATTCAGTTTTAGAACAAAATTCACAAGTGTTACCCCAACAGTCTTCTTGAAACATCTGATGGGTCATATCTGTCCTCTCAGATTTGAAAGAGTTAAGGACTTTTTATTAATTTAAAATGCATATTGAGGAATAATTTTGATATAAATCAAACATGAAATCATCAGCATTTTGCTTTAAAAATTTGAAAATTCAAACATGTGTTCATTGTGATAATTTTCAATGAAATTATTAAAACACAATAAATCTATGGAGATTAAAGGATCTATCGATTGTAGTACCTGGATTAATTATAACTGAATAGGAAACTAAATCTAATACTGAATGAAATATTTAGTATTTTTTTCCCTGGTAAGGATATAAAATAGATATAAAAACTTCAGTACATTAGAACATGCTTTAGTAATCTAAACTGCTTTTCATTCTTCTTTACTGCTTGCTTTCATATCATTTAAGAAATATATATATATATTGATATTTTCTAAGTTTAACTCATTAAACAGAAAAAAATGTTTCATATTTTATATATATATTTCAAGGAAAAATGTTTGTGCATGCAAACACAAAAAATAACAATACTTCATTTTTTTTTGTTAAGTATTTGTGAAATTCTTCTTATGATTCTGCAGGTTAAAGAATAAAACAATTCAAATATGATATAACCACCATGAAAATATAATTACAGTAGAGTCCCGATAATCCGAGTCCCGGTTATCCGAGTTTCCGCTTTAACCGAGATATCAAATATTTTAAGGATTTTTTTTGTTCTAGTTCATTTTTTATTTTTAAAAATACCGCCGAAAAATAAATCTGAATTTTTTCTTCCAAACACTCGGGAAAACAAAATCTAACAACTTCATCGGATGAAATGATCATTAATATTGTCAATAATGAAAATGAACCTAGCGAAGATGATGAAGACAGTGACGATGAAAATCAACATATAAAAATCTCTCACACAGATGAACTTAAAGCTGTCGAAAATGCTTCTGAATGCATAGAACAACAAAAAGAGGCGACACCAGCCTTCCTGTTATCCCTAAAAAATGGCGAAACATTGCTGCAGAAAAGCACCAAAGTTATGTAAAACAAAAAACGATTAAGGACTTTTTTTTAAGTAAAAACTCTTTAATTCTCGCAAAGTATACTTTTTAAGTTTTTTCTAGTAAGCTTTTTAATAATAATAGGAATTATATGTGGTATACTCGTATAAATTTTATATTTCTTAAATATATTACATTTATACCAACTCTTTTTCTTTCTTTTTTTATACTCTTCGTTTTAACCGAGTTTTTCAGTTATCCGAGTTAGTCGTGATCCACATTAACTCGGATAATCGGGACTCTACTGTATATCTCGAGCAGCACAGAGAAATGGGGCCCATATGGTACCTATATAGATTTGTGGTGTTCTTATGGGCCCCATCACTAGCCCACATTCAACCCATATCATCAAAATGATGGAATTCTGTGCTCAACTTAAATTTTTTTTAAATTAAATAAGAGATTATAAAGCATATATTGACACAAAATAAAATTCAAATCCTGATTAAAAAGCTATTTATGTTTCTTTCTAAACACATGGAAAATCCACATAGATCTAAATGGGCAACTCATGCAGATCTATTAGGTTGTCCATCAATGTCCATCTATTGATCTTGTAGATGGGTAGCCCATATTGAATTTTTTGCCCATTTGAATGATATGGATAGCTCTTTTTGGCCCAATTGTATATTATTTATAATCGAAGCTTATATTGGATGGTTTGCTTATTTGAGCCAATCAAGAGTTTATTTATTTGGAAACCTAAGTATATTAATATTGGTTGCCCATTTGTGCTCTTATGAAGAATGTTAATATGGGAAGCCTGTTTAAGCCCATATAGATTTATCATATTGAAACCATATATTGTTTGATATGGGTGGCCTATTTGCATCTATTATAGAATTTTTATATTAAAAGAACATATAGAAATAGCTGGGTTGCCCATTTTAGCCCATATAAAAAATTTATTTGATATAATAATGTAAGAAACATGTTAGAAATCTGAGAAATCTCATGTTAGAAATAGCAGTATCAAATTTCGGATGTCAAATCCATTCTATCAAACCCTTGAATGAGATTATGAGAAAAATGACCTAATCCACAAATGAGTCTGTAGAATGTCTGATTTCTTTTAACTAGGTCCAAAGAAACTTCTATTCAGAACTTATTTCTAATTCGAATGGAACTGTTATTGGACTCTTTTTGATTTTAAGAATATTTCTTTATTTTAAAAATTATGTTGCACTCAATTTTTTATATTCTTTAATAAATTCTTTTGTAAAATATTTTTTTGAAATTTTCAGCTGCAGTTATAGTATTTGAATTTGAAAAACCAACTGCTCCTCCTCCCCGTCTGTCCAGCTTACAAAGGGTATGAAATATATTGTTTTCCTAAGTTCTAAATTTAATTGTGCATAATTTTTTTTCCTGTTTTACAAATGTATTTGCAATCAATATTTGAAGTAATAATCTTCAATTTTCTAGATTGGGCACGTCTAATGTATCAATACTATCATGCATACTGATGTTAATAATATATTGACATAGTAAAAGAAGAAAATTGAATGAAACATGCGGTTCTGTAACTGTTAAGGTTTTGTAATTTAAGTTTATGTGAGGAGAGTTTTTATAATATTTTCAAAATTATTATTATTGTTGTCATAATCTACTGGTATACATTTAAGCAAATTTATTTTGTAAAGCTTAGTTACTGAACTATAGTTAATTATAAACACTGTGCTTTTAAATTGTTTAAACTTAAGAAGGGTAGTAAAATTTAAGTTTAGTAATCATTTTTCACTATTAGTAACTTATTCTCTCTCTCAATTCTTAGTAAATAATTTTTAATTTTGTATGATTTAATCACATATTTTGCCCAAATCAACGTAATTAAATATTTAAAAATAGATGTTTCATTGAATTATTCCTTAGATTTTCATAATTATGTAGTACATTATTACAAATTTTTATTCTTGCAGAAACTGAAAAAACAGAATGAAACAGAGGAACCCATTTGCATTGAAAGATCCACCTATCCTAAAAAAGGCAAATCTCCGAACAGGAAACAGCAGCAAGAAATTTCTCCAAAAAATAACCCGCAATGCAATCCTGAAGTACCTGAAAGGAACGTGTTACGCCGAGATTCAGATTGCATTTTGAAGAAGATTGTTTCTCCCATCAAAGAAGAAGTCAATTACAATTCCATAGATAATTCTAGCCACGATCTTTCTTACGACATACCCCCTTGTGTCCCTCACCAATCACAATTAAGAAATAATTTATTGAACAGAGTGTACCTTGATGCTCACGAAGAGGATAGTTTGAGAGATTTGCAAGACTTGCCCCAGGATCAAACTCAGTCCAACCATTATGAACCTGAATCTGAGTCTCAAATGATTAGCAGCATTGCTTCCTTGGAATTGGATGATAGCAAAAGTCCAGCTCATTGCAGTGACAATCCAGATAGCCTGGAGGCAAATGAAGAGATATCAACTGACAGTAAGGATGAAATTGATATATCTGCTTCTGCTGGTTAGTTAAATGTCTATTTTTTTTTGTCTTTGCTTTAATTTTATTTTGTAAAAATAGATTGGCTTAAAGTTGAGAGAATGAAGCAATTCAAATATTTGTTTACTGACTCTGTTAATTATATTTAAAAAAACTTTAAACTAGATAGGTATGTCTTAGTTATCAGAAGAAAATTAAAAGCTATTTTGATAAACGAAGCATTCATTTTTTTATCTATTGCCCATTTTCCTTTAGTTTATTACTGCTATTTTTTAAATTACCACCTTGATCAAAAAGTTCTCGGAATGTATTCAGAAAATTAAAAATACAAGCTTATTAATCTAAATCTATATTGTTCCCTTCAAAGTAATCCATATCGACTACAACACACTTATGCCAGCGCTTGATCCAATCCTGGATAGATTTTTTATATTCAGTTTTCGGTATGTCCATCAGTGCTTCCTACGATTTTTACTTTGATGAACGCCATTCACTTGCCAGGTGTCTGGATTGCGTGTCATACTCATAAACCCACGTCTCATCTCCAGTAATGATCCTTTTGATGAATGTGGGATCGGATTCAGCCTTGCAAATCATGTCTTTAGTGACGTCAACACTGTCTCTTTTTTGCATGAAATTGAGGTCTTTTGGCACCAACTTTGCTGCTACATGACGGAAACCCAAATCATTAACAAAAATGTCTTGGCCAGATCCATAGGCAATGTTCAAGCCCTCCGCTATTTCTCTGATGGTTAATTTGCGGTTAATGACCAACATTTCTTTTACTTTATCAATGTATTCAATGTTGATGGTCTGCCACTGCGTTTATCATCTTCAATTGACTCATGACCACTTTTGAACCACTCGTGCCACTGGTAAACAACCGTTTTCTTTGGAGAATCGTTGCTGAAACACTTTTCCAACGTTCGCTCACCACTAAATCTGTTTTTTTTTTTTTTTTTTTTTTTTTTTTTTTTTTTTTTTTTTTTTTTTTTTTTTTTTTTTTTTTTTTTTTTTTTTTTTTTATGCAAAATTTAATGCAAGTTCGTTGTTGTAAATTTAAACCCATTTCTAAAATTGTGAAAAATTGCCAACACACACAGAGATAGATGTACTCTTGGCTATGTAACTTTTGCAAATGTCAAGCTATGACGCTAAAATTTACAGGGAATATCAACAACAGATGTACCAANTTTGCTGCTACATGACGGAAACCCAAATCATTAACAAAAATGTCTTGGCCAGATCCATAGGCAATGTTCAAGCCCTCCGCTATCTCTCTGATGGTTAATTTGCGGTTAATGACCAACATTTCTTTTACTTTATCAATGTATTCGATGTTGATGGTCTGCCACTGCGTTTATCATCTTCGATTGACTCACGACCACTTTTGAACCGCTCGTGCCACTGGTAAACAACCGTTTTCTTTGGAGAATCATTGCTGAAACACTTTTCGAACGTTCGCTCACCACTAAATCTGTTTTGTTTTTTTTTACGCAAAATTTAATGCAAGTTCGTTGTTGCAAATTTAAACCCATTTCTAAAATTGTAAAAAATTGCCAACACACACAGAGATAGATGTACTCTTGGCTATGTAACTTTTGCAAATGTCAAGCTATGACGCTAAAATTTACAGGGAATATCAACAACAGATGTACCAACTTAAAAAAAAAAAAAAAACAGAACTCAAATCGGAACGGTGGGAGCGCCACCTGGGGGTTATTCCGGGAACTTTTTGATCAAGATGGTATTTTGTAGAAATACAAAAGCCAAACTTGCATAAATTGAATTTCTAAATTATTTGTTGGCTGTTATAATTTTATCTTAAAACCTTAAAACTGCGAAATCGTATATGCTTCAGTGATATAAAAAATTAACTAATATGTAAGAATAGAGCATAAACAATAATTATTTAATATAATAATTAATTATAATAATTAAGTTTTTATTTATTTACTATCTTTTGTTCTTAATGAGTCATTTTTTTTTACTTTTACTGGTTTTTTATATTATTTTGTGAAAATTAACTGGCTAAAGTTTTGTGAATAAAACTGCTCAAATAATTGCTTGCAGACTCTTAAATTTACTTTAAAATATTGAATCTTCTATATCTAAGTGATTCAAGGAATGAAAAGCTAACACATAAGCTTGAAGCATAAACCTATATAATTTTAATTATGATTTCCATTACTTCTATTTCCTAAACCATTATTCTTATTGACTTTCAAAAACTGAATTAAGAATCAAAAGCATGTATGTTTTTGGTTACAATTTATATACTTTTGTCTGAAAATTAACTCATAATAATTTAAATTAAATTTATTTTTTCATTTTTGTTGTCGTATTATTTCTATTATTCAAATACGTGATTATTCAAATACGTGTATATATATGTTACTGTGAACGACCAAAAACAAGAGAATGTTGACTTTCACGGGTGAATGTGTGAAATATTTGTTATATCCGATTTGATATTAATTTATTCGTCGATATTATTATATTTATTCAATATTTTAATGTCTGCTGAGGATAGATTGAGAGAAAATCAGTTTTCGGACTACGTTCAAAGCATACTGGGCAGTTGCACATGACCTTAAAAAAACATTAATGTAAGGCATACTGGGCAGTGGCACTTAACTGGACCTAGTATATATTTCGGACATTTACCAAAGCAACTATGTGATTGTCAACAACAGGGGTGGAAGTCAATAACCACCAATTTTGGTCATTCACAGTAACATATACATTGAAAAAATAAACTAACCAGCAATATAAAGCCATATTTAGTAAATAATGTAATTTGTAACATCTGTGAAGCTCAAGAGTTGAAACAGTGTATTGTAAGCATGTTGTTTAATTTTCAGTTTTATTTAAAATGATGTCTAAAAAAGGAAATAATTTTATATAGGTAGAAGGATTATCAAAATAAAGCTGAACTTTATGGAATGAAGCTGCTTAAATAATAGTACATAGAATAATAATTTACAAGCTTTTTGTTTTTATAGAAAAAGTAATTAATTTTTAAAAACTAAATGGATATGTAAGGCTCTAAAAATTTAAAAGCAATTTGATGAAAGCGAAAAATAAACAACATCTATGTTAGGTTATAATGTATATTTTTTGTTTAAATTTCTTAAAGAATCTTATTGAACTAGTAATTTTTTTTGTTTGTTTTAGATGGTTCTAGTCAAGAAAAGGGAGCAAATGAAAAACCGGAAGTAGTAAATAAGAACTCAATTGAGTCTGTGAAGAAGGGGAAAACAGAGATACCAGTGAAAGCAAACAGTCCACCTCCTTCAATACCTCAACCCACACTGATAATTCAGACGAAAGAGCAAAAATCCAACTCCAAAATTCCTAATCAAGAAGAAAAGGTTATCAGAGAAAAATCTCCAGTCAAAAGGTCTTTGGTTCCAACTTTAAAGACTTATACTTCAGAAGAAAAACTACCTTTAACATCAGATTTGAAAGGAAAAGACCTTGTTGCTGAAATTGATGCTGATTCACGAATGGTTAGTCACTGTTTGCAAGAAGCGGAAATGCTTGAACAGCAATTGTCTCGTAAACTGCAACGTCAACATCAAGATGGATCAACTACTGGTTCCCTGTACTTGAACAGTCCAGCTAGGATTCAGATGCCATCTGATCACAAGACAGCTAAAACTTATGGTTCTCGATTGCAAAAGGCTTCTTCTACTAGTCAAATTAAAAATCTTGTCACGGGCTCTTCCAGGGGACGAAGTCCTGGCCGGACTATCAAAAGTAATGCATCTAGTCCATCTGTAGGTCATCCCCCTAAACTTGTGAAGTGCTCTGAATCAGTAAAGGACAAAATGCCCGTTAGGAAGTCATCAGTATCTCCAAAAAATACAGGATTGCCAAACAGCTCTTATCGGCCTGGTGAAGCCGTTTCTAAACAAGGCCCAATAAGTGTTCATTTAGCATCAAAAAGAATGCCAACTAGAGTTAACCGGTCAAAAATTATAACTGTGACCAATGCTCGGACTTCTGCTAGTGGTTCAAAATAAATATAAACAGGAAAAGTTGCTTATTGTATTACCTTGCAAGTGAGCCAAAATGTAAAAAAAAATTTATATACATGCTTGTATATAGTTAAATACTGATTTTAAATGAATATCTTTACAGAAAACTTCTTTTTTATAATATGCACAAAATTAAGCACATTATTTTATTTATGAATAAGTCAAGATATTCTTTTTTCTCACTGTGCTATTTTACCTATTTACCTTACCTGAGCTTGTGTAAATATTTAATATTTTTATAAATTTGTTTTTAAGTTTATTATTTTATTTGCAATCTTTTTACTTTGTTGAAAATTTTAAATTTTATTGATTTTAATTTATTATGAGTACAAATATCGTCAGGCTTTAATATACAAAGCCGAAACTTCATTATGTATGTTTAAATTTGATTTGGTTGCTATTTAAATGTAAGCAAGAAAAGTTGCTTACTAATTTAAAATTGTATTACTTATACCTTAAAATAAATCATAAAATATTCATTAATTTATTAAATAAATTATGATAATCCTTCAAACGACAACAAATAGTGAAGAGATTGATCAAAGTAGTATATACTTATGTAGTATAGGTTTAACAGTAATGCATAAGGTGCTACTTAGTTTCAAGTCTTCACTTTGAAATTTTCTTAAACTAACATTCATTTTTTAGTACAATTACATAATGGTTTTTAGAATTTCTGACAAAAGTTCCTGTTTTTAAATATATGTCAACAACACGTTTCTGTTTTTAAAGTTATTATTTATAGCATTTGGGGAACTCTTTAGAACCAAAAAATTTATGTCTCTATCAACTAGTCACATTTGCATATAACAAATCATGTGGTCTTGTTTAGTTTAGTGTAATATATTATTTTATGATATAGAATTCTATTATTTCTTTGAAATGATCTTAATCCTATTTTAAATAGCTTTTTTTTTTTGAATTAAAAAAATGAAATAATTAATTTTGAACTTTGAAGGGTTCTTGAAAACAAGTGCTTAATAAATCTGACATATAGAATTATCAAGTGCTCAATTTCCTTTGTAAATCGCTACCATTTTTATGTTATCTTTTTCAAATAATGAAACATTTAGTTTAGTTATTAATGGTTGATCTGTATTATTTTTTGCATTTTTAAAATTTTCCTTCCCGTCTTTATTTTTTAAGAACAAATAAATGAGCATATTACTTCAATACTTTTAATCATAACATAAGTAAGATACTCATTTATTTTTTTTCTTCTGATTTCTAAAATTTTTTTCGATGCATTTCTTTCAATAAAAAGGAATCAAATCCACAAAGTGCTTCCATGTGCATTAACGCAGATCAATCATTTGTAAAAATATAAATTTTATATCTTTTTTCTTAATAATTACATCTACTAGATCTTAACCATTTGTAAACTGGAAGAAAAATTGGTGTGAAACACAAATATAGTTATTTATTACAATTTTTGTTTTTTTGACAACAGTTTTTATGAACTGCTTGGAAGACAACCCTTTGCTTTCTTTTTTCTTTCTTCTGCTTTTTAATCTTTTCTTAGTTTCGATTTTCTTATTTCTTCCCTCATCATTTTTTCTAACTCAATTCTCAAAACTGTTACCTTTCTTACATATTATTTTACAACATAGGGAACGCATTCTTTTCTTAACATGTATCTTAATCCATTTTAATAACTGGCGTTTTTAAGAAATTAAATATTTACAAATGTGAACCATTGGAAATTCCTTATTAGATTTTAGGTTCAAAAATTTTTCCCCCACTTCTTTAGTTGTTTACATACATATATCCTTAACATACAAGAATTTTGCATTGTCACTCTAATAGAATTTTCTAAGTGAGAGCAACAATTATGCTTTGATTGTTGTAACAATTATGCATAAATTGTGATGAATGTTAAAAAAAAGTCTGATCTATATTATAATCGGATAATCAAATCGCATTGTCCTTATATGAGTATGGAGGTTTGAAAAATCTCAAAATTTTTATAATCTTCAAAGTATAAGCTGAATAAAATTTTTTATGAATAAAATAAAATCTTATAACAAATATACTGAATAAAATTTTAAAACAAACATCTTTTTCGAATACATATTAATGAAAACGTAGGACCTAATAATGATCACACAGAAAAAATGACATTAATATTCAAGCATTAATCAATTAGAAGAATTGAGTGTTTGTTACAAAGTATTAAACATGAATAAGCATTGATGAAATAAATGCATAGCATTATTATTAACAAAAAAGTATTATTATTAGAATTATTAAGTATTATCTATGAATGCATACCCTTCAACGAGTGACTTTGAAACGATTTTATAAAAATGTTGCAGTTCTTGCAATAGATTTGACACTTAAAATTCAGCTTTTATATTTGCTACTTTCTAATGAAAAGCGATTAGGGTAAACTTTTTTTTAATAAAAATAAATATAAGTAAAAAAAAAATGAACAAGCAAATTTTGTTTCTTAAATTCTTATTAAAATAAAATTAAATTCAGTAACATTTAGGTGTTATTGAATAATCTATTTTCGTTTTTCTGCATCATCTGGTAAGTTGATGATTTTCATCAAAATTTAAGGGGCACTTAACCCCTTGACGTACGAAGACGTCATTTGTTTCTTATGTCAAAACAATAAATGACGTGTCTCAGACATCAATACAGAGATGCTAACTTTCTCCAGACAGCAAATAAATATTTTAAAGTGGTAGTTTATCAATTGTGATTCTTGGTTTAATAAATTCAATTTAGTAGATTTTTATCCACCACTATTTCTAAATAGTTCGTAGTCTTATATAATTCACTACTTTATAGTAGTTATGCCATGCTATGCCTTTTAAAAAGTAAGCAAAAATAGTCAAAAGATTTAGTTTGTAATTATTTGCCGTTTTTTTAATTTATAATTTTGGCATGTCCGTAGCAGTTTGCATCTCTGTCAACATTCTGTTGCGAGTTGTTGTTTACAGTGCAATCAAAGATCATTTCTATATCAAGAAATGATGTGTCGAGGGTTTAATCAGTATTTCAATTTATTATTGATTAAATTATTTATATGCCTGGCTGAGCATATAAGGGTAAAAGATACATACCCATTTCAGTATGTGACCCAAGCATGTTGGGCACTTTAATTTTTAATGATTGGCAATAAAAAAATCTGTATATGCATTCAAAAAAAAGGGTAAAAGTTGGAAGATATCATGTTAAATATATGCAATAATTTTAAACAATATTACTGTGTGTTATTTTTTTTAGTGTTACATAAAAAAAATAGCTATATATAAATAGCACTCTATAAAAAAAATAGCCATTATTACTCATAAAACATTCAAAATTAAAAAAAAAAATTATATATTTATTTTTAAACCTTAGAATTTTCTTTTATTTCCTTTCTTAATTTTTTCTTTAGATTTGAAAGTAAAAGTGTACTACAGAGTTGGCCTTCTACAGTTTACTAAGTACATTTTTTTACAGTTTATTTAGTACTTTCATTACAGCTATTTTGAGAAAACATTATATTAAATTTAAAACCATACCTTATATATGTTGTCTTTTATACTAAATAATTTTATATATTTATTCTTTTCACAAACCTGTATTTATTTCCATAGAAAGAAAGCTGCATTTATTCTTGTAACTAAATTCCATTTTATTTGTTACAATCCTAATTTTATGTTACTTTTCATTCGCAAAATGACAACAAATGCTATATTTTTACAAATCTGTAAAACACTATTTACCACTGTCTATGTAAAGCAATGTCTCCTCTTTTTCTAGTCATATTTATTTGTTTGAGAAAAGGAGAAACACCACTAAAAAATATTTATAAATTTTATTTATTTATTTTATTTTTATTTTTTAAATATGAACATATGAACATTGGCAATGTGCACATAAAAAGGCATTTTCTATAAGCTAAAATAAAAAAACATGTAAGATTTTTTTTATTTTTAAAAATTCTTTTATACACTGAAAATATTAATAATAAAAATGCATGCTGTTTAAATAAATAAGATAAAAACTAAAGAAGTTATTTAAAAAAGTAATTAAAAAGAAGGACTTAAATGCAATGGAAATACATCAAAACATACATTAAATAAATTTGATTAAAATCAGATTTCTTATTGAGTTTTTTTTTTAAATAGCATATCATCAATCATGCATGATTCTATTTAATTATGTGGCCAATAAACATATTTTGAAAAATAAACCTTGTTTGAATCAAATACAGTGGTGTTCCCCTTTATTATCATTTTATAGTTTATAATCTCACAGTAAGATGTACTTGGCCTTATCTGTCATTTGTTATTACACTTTAGCGCAGTTATATACCTTATAAGTTTGATACAATTCCGTTATGGGTTACATATTTTTTTTTATCATATAACCTTTTTCTACTTGAAAAGTGTTATCTATTTATTTATTTTTTAAACCTGTAAAAATAAAACGAAAAGAAATTTTCTTTTATTCATATGCTATCACTTTATTCATTTGCAAGGAAAACAAATATAATGCTATCAGTGTGATATTTTTATACATTTGTGGACATCAAAAAGTTAATCGGGTAAAAATATTAACTAAAGTGTTGTCTTTACACTGTCTTTTTTTTCTTTCTTGCTACCGTTAAAATATTTTCAATCATTTTTGAAAATGTTTTCAATGGTTTCAATATTTTTATTTTTAATTCATTGCTCAATATTGATGTTTTATTCTGTTAAAATAATCATAGTATTGTTCTTGTATTTTATGTGCGCTCCAAAAGACAATTCCTTTTAATGAAATAGGTTAACCAATTCTTATTTTTTAATTTATGAATAGAGGTAATATTTAATAGATTATTAACATTTATTTGTAATTTTATTATTTTTTGTTAGCTAAAAAACAATTTTGAATTAAGTTTACTTTTCGAGCTCAAATCTGGGTAAGCTTTTGTGGAATATGAGCAAGTTTACAAAGCGATTTTAATTATTTACTTGCTTCTCTCTTTCTGCGAAGAAAAAGTGAGATACCCATAACGGAATTATTACTTCAGGTCCATTCTTAAAACAGGTGATAACTTTTGAAGGTGAGAAATTTTACATGTAAGCCTAAGAAAATGAGTCTTATTTGTGGACATCCTTCAAAGTTTTGAAATGTGATAAAAAGTAAAAGGAAATAATTTCCTTTTTTGACGAAAATTTGTTCTGCCACTGAGGAAAACAATACACATTTTTGTTAATAAATTTAACAAAATGAGTACATTGGGGTTGTTTGAAAACTCTTATCGACACACGTATATGGCTGACATTATTTTTAAGAAATATTCATTTTCCAAACTTATCACCTGAACCAAGATTTGAGCCATGTCTTTCTGCACGTTCAAACATTTACCTGCATTGTGTGCCTTTCTGTGTGAGCATTTAATATAAAATCATGTTATGATTCTTATCTTGTTTGTGATGTATTTTTTAAATATTTATGTAAGGTTCAAAATAATTTTAGTGGAAAAGATACTATACAAACAATAGTTTCGATAGTTTAATTATTAGTTTTCCATTCAACTAATAATGGATAGTTTCTGAAATACAATCATTATTTTAGTAAAGCTGAATGATAATGACGAAAAAACTGTAGGTTTATTGTTCTAGAATATTTTTTTTTAAAGTTGAAGTTTTGTTAGATGTCATCTTTGTTTTTTAGATATTTTTATTTGAGAAATGTGTGATTTTAATTTTCTGTCTAGTCCAAATTTTTTTTAGTCAAAATAAAAGTATGCACTAGTCTTATTGTTGAATTATTTCATGACTATGAAGACAATGTGTTTTTTTTTTCTCATTGAAATTGCTTTTACCAAAGATATGTAGTTTCAGATATATGTCATTACTTAAGTCAGCAGAATTTTTTGTTGTTAGTATTGCCAAAGAATTATGCAATTATAATATTACTTCTTTTAAATTTCTCGTTAGATTAATTAAAAATTTTTCCAATTTGGTACTTGCACATCAAGAAAAAGATCACTATAAACAATACCCACCCATGTGATCTATGACGTCAACACCAACAGATCGTTTATGAAAGAATTGAAATCTTTATGACAAAAATCTTTGTGTAAGAATATAGTTTGTGTCACTTAAGAGAATTGATACTTGATGGACTTGGCTTACTCGAAATAGAATGGAAAGAACAGTTGCAAGCTTAAACAAATGCCAATCAGTTATGTGACGTACCCACACTTGCAGGCATCCCATTGATTAAAATTTGAATTTTTACAATAGACTTAAATTTGAATTATCACAATTTAATGATTTTAAATAGATTAATTGTAAAAAAATTTCGGGTAATATAATATTAGAGCATTTTTTAGAACTCTTACTCTACTATCTCTTACGTCTTTTTATAAAACTTAAATAAAAGTGGTATTAAAAATCTTTTGAGCAATTTTGTTCTGAGCAAGATCTAAAAATATGGATACTTTATAGTTCTTCAGAACTGTTCCAAAAATGAATTATTATTATAAATCCATTCGAATCTGCTGGAATTTTATTCTTCAAAAAATAAGAACATGGAATTTTCGTGATCTTTTGTTTTCAAACTTCTATTGAATAATTAAAATTCTGTATAATGGTTTTAAATATAGCTTTTGAGAATCGCTTAAGGAAAAATTTTCTATTCCGAAAATGGTAAAAAAATTTCTAAAAATTTAATAAATCTGTAATTAATGAATTTTTATGCGCTAATTACGATTCGGAGGTAACATCAAAATGGCGGATTAAATAGAGTGGTTAAAAATTTCAATTGCTTTTTGTTTGTTTTTGAAAAAATTTTAAATTTTTATAATTTTGGGGATAATTAGAGATCTTTATAATCATAACATTATGAAATGGAACATTTTATTGAGGGGCGAAAAGAAGAAAAATTTTGTTCAGTATTGGTGATTTATGGAATTTAATTTTTGTTGCCTAATGCGATCTTAATTTCTAGAACAACTATAAATTTTAAGAATAATTTCGAAGGAAATAGTAGGATTATTATTTTGCTTATTGATCAAAAAAAGAAAAAATTCCCTGGTGTTTTAAATAAGTAATCATTCATGATATCCAGACAAGGGCAAGACGACGGTCAAGACTGACCACTTCATAGAAAAATAATAAGCTTTACAGCCATGGCGACTCAGGGTATAGAGCGTTCGCCTTCCAAAGAGGTTAATCGTGTTCGAATCCCAGTGATAACCAGTCGATACAAATTCCGTACCGACCACAAAGCTGTCGTAAAATATCCTTAGTGGTAGACAGATCATGGGCTAGAGTACCCTTGCCGTAAGTCTAACCGTGGGAGGTTTTCATGATTTCCCTCTCCATGTAACGCAAATACGGGTTGGTTCCTTCAAAAAGTCTTCCACGAAGGCAAATTCTCCCAATACTAAATCCAAGAGCTCCCTTGTCTGTTGCAATAGGTTCAAAATTACAAGACTACAGAGTTGAACATTAGTAGTCGTAAACCCACAAAATTGGGTCGGCTGTTCAACGACGGTTATAAAATAAAATAATAAGCTTTGCTAATTTCGCCTGTTATAATTTTTTATGTATACCGTAGAAATAATAAAAACAAGAAAAAAATAATGTATAATGTGATCGAGATGTTCAATTATGACCTCCCATCATATGTATTTTTTGGAATTCTTGTTAAAAAGTATACACATTAGAAGTCTCAAATTAATATTTAAGCTCGGTAGAATCAAACACTTTATCTAAATATGTAAAATTACTAGTGAGGTAGGCGTTATGAATAACTTCAAAACCATTTCCTTTCTCTTATGAAACTTCGAAGTGTTTTTAATAACTCTGGTAACAACACAGATTTTAATGTATTTAGTTCCGTCTTCCGGAGATATAATTCATTAGATTTCGATAGCGAATTTTTTCCCCCCGCTTGAATATTATTTTGCAATTCTTAATGTGCATACTAAATTTGTATCTTCAGTTTGATAAGAATTCTAAAAATGTACATTAAGTGTGGTCATTAAGGAACACTCTGATTTGTAATTTTGAGGAAGGTCGGGGCTAGTTTATTACGGTGTTTTTCACTCATTTTTTTTCCGCACCCATTTTACGGGACCGGAATTTGAACACAACACTGATTTTGTTAAATAGAAACCTATATCTTATTTGGCATCATTGGAGAGAGT